TTATGAGCTAAACTGTTAAAAGAAAAGGAAAATATTTACATACTATTAATATTCTGAAGTACTTGCCTATAGTAAAGAGGAAGTTTCGTCTAAAATTAGCTATTACTTAGGAAAATTGTAAAATTATTGGTTAAGTTATTAAGGGTTATTATGATAAGGCCAATTTAACTGGGTATATTTTTGGCATTGCTTCATTTAGAAAACTGAATCTCCTCCCCTACTGAGAACACTTTTTGATGAGAAGGGGATGGTAATTAGGAATTCATTTGTGGTAATTAGGAATTTATAGCTTATGACTATTGTGAATTCTGAAGTTATATCTGGAATGGTCTGTACTGAAATTGCATTTTAGCCAACTCAGTCTTAACAAACACCAATTTTAAAAATTTGTTTTTGCTTTAAGGGTTGAATAAGAAATAGCTATGGTCAGTTTAGAAGTTTCCAGCTATGTACTTAATGAAAGCCTAATGATTATCTTTTAACATCAGGATATTTTAAGCTGTTTTTGAGAAAGAGAAATACTAGTAGAAAAGAATGTTAAGTAAAAATATTTTGTGTGATTTTTTTTAGAAGGCCTGATTAATTTTATTTGCTAGCCAATTTATTGCAACAACTTGAGAGTATTGATGAAAATTGTGTCCAGCCCTAGAGTGATAAATGAGACTTTGCTGTTTGTGGTGAAAACTTTTTGGTACCCTGAACATTCTTTCTTAGCTTCATTTTTAGGTTTGTTGTGTCTTTAAATGAGTGCTTCAGGAAAAACACCCATAGTCCAATGGGAGTGACATCTGAGATCTGAGGCCAGTGGATATCTGCCCCTGGGAATGATGTTGGGAAGGTGACCTTGGGAAGGCTAAGGCTGGACTGTCTTAATTCATTTTACTATACAAGACTGCCCACCTGGTTCCATATACTTGGCTGCTCATAATCATTTTGAGTGTTGGGCCTTTAGGACCAGTATTGATGCATTACATTCATGTCCTCCTCCTTCTTCTTTTTTTTTGTTGTTGTTGAGGCAATTAGGGTTAAGTGACTTGCCCAGGGTCACACAGCTAGTTAAGCATCAAGTGTTTTGGTCTGAGGCCGGATTTGAACTCAGGTCCTCCTGACTTCAGGGCCGGTGATCTATCCTCTTTGCCACCTAGCTGCCCCCACAATTAGTTATCCTAAAAGAATGGCTTGTGGTCTATCTTGTGTTGCCTTAAAGAGATGTCTACTTTTACTCACGGTCATTCATTTGAACATGGTAATTGGAAATGCTTTATTATAAACAACCTATTTGATATGCATTGTTTAGAAACTGATTACTCACTGTATTTGTATATCTCACCCCAGAACTTTTTATTACAATTAAATTTTTTTGGGAAACTTTTAAATTAACTCATTTTTGTATTAGAGGTCATCTTCTTATCCTTAGCAGGATCTCATCCTCCTAAAGGGGGAATGAACAGCTAAAAGAAAATAACTAAACAACAAAATAAATAGCTAGAGTGAAAATTTTAAGATTAAATAATTACATATGCCAAGTATATATTCAAAATAAATTTGAAATAATCAAAGAGGGGAATGAGAGAAGTGATTATTTTTCTATCATATTAATGACTGATTATTAAATTGGCCTCCAGGCTTTTTTAAAAAAAATATTTCCTCATTCAGGGACCAGCTCCTATAGGTCAGTCAACCAGTCTCTGAAAGACAAGTCTGATAGATGAGACTGCCTAAATCCTGTAAGAACATGCTCTTAGATTTTGGGCAAGACCCTCATGCAACTAGGAGACCTTACTTCTATTTAGAGTGTAAACAGAATCTAATCTAGATAAATTCCTGTCCCAAAACAATGAGCTCATGCCCTTATACCCCTCCACTGGAGTTTAGAGTGATCCAGCTCTTGAAGAAGAAAACCAACCAGAGTTGTTTAGGTAGAGATAGATTCCTTTGTCCAGATTGCTGGAGGCAGCTAGGTCTCAAGATCAAGTCACATTCTCAGGAGGAAGAACTGAAGACTTTTAGCCCACACCCTCATTAATTATTCACCAATCAAGGTTCATCTGTCAGGGACACCTCCTTTTACAAAAGTATATTAAGGCTTCCAGTCTCTTCATGTTTTTTTTAGCAGTGTGAAAACTGGTTTGCCTAGTATAGCCCTAGCCTCCTAGGATGCAAGTATGCCTAGGATAATAAACCTAGAGACGAGCCTCTTGATAGAATAGTATTTAAGGTTAAGTCCCCCATTTCCTTGCTCCATATTTCTCCTTCCTTACTAGGTAATTTAGAAAATTGTCAGTCCATCAATAGTTATTTATTAAATGTCTATTATGGGCCAGGAACTATGCTAAGTGTGGGGATTCAAAAGAGGCAAAAGTCATCCCTGACCTTGAGGAGTTTATAATCAAATGGGAGAAACGAGTAAAAATATGTACAAATATGCTATATGCAGGAAAAATAACAGAGGGAAGGCATTAGAATTAATAGGGATTGGGAGAGGCTTCATGTAGGTGGGATTTCAGCTGAGACTTGAAGGAACTAGGGAAGCCAGGAGTCAAAGATGAAGAAGAGCATTCCACACATGAAAATTCCTGGGGTAGAGAGATAGAGGCCAGCAAAGAGTACATGGGAGTGTGGGGTGGGCTGTGTAAGGTGTAAAAAGGCTGGAAAGGTGGGGGAAAAGGCACTAGGTTATAAAGGGCTTTAAATTCCAAACAGATTTTGTATCTGATCCAAGAGGTGAGAGGAAGCAGCCCTCGGAGTTTATTGAACAGGGAAGTGACATGATCAGATGTGTGATTTAGGAAAATCTCTTTGGTAGCTGAGGTGAAGATGGACTGAAGTGGGGAGAGACAGTGGATCTACCTGCAGTTTATTGCCATAGTCCAGATGTAAGGTGATAAGGGCTTGTAGTAAGATGGTGGCAGTATCAGAGGAGAGAAGGGGATGTTTCCCATTACTTCTTTGTCTCAAATGATATGTAAGTTTGAAGCCTGAGAAGTTCTGGGTTTTCAACTGGAACACAGATGCCTTTGGACCCCCTGACTCCTCCCACACCAGTGTGCTGCCCACTATGGGCATGGAGGTCAAACACTTAGACTGTCCCTACTAGCAGTTGCTATTCTCTTACCCTTGTGGCTAGCAATAAAGTTTGTTAAAATTATCTCTGTGGGATGATGATTTTCATCTAAATTTCCTTGCACTACAATTTTATATGTCAGTGACACATATATACATACATAAATATAAAGCATACATGTTAAACTATATTCATAAGTCAAATTTAATTGATTACAGCTCACATTTATGCAATTATAAGGTGACTTATCTGTGCATGACCAGATTGCTTCACCCTCCATCTCTCATTTCCCCTGCCACTTGGGTGGAAGGAACTGCTTTGATTGGCTACATAGCTGGGACAGATGTTTCTTTAAAAAAGGGCCAGAGGGACAGCCTTTTTCTGCTGCATGCTCTTTGCTGTGCTTTTCCCTACAGCATCCAGAGGGTAAAGAGTACAATTCACCAATGGTGTGGGCTCCATAAATTGAACCAGATAGGGAGATGACTCCCAGCGTTCTCTTTCACTCTGGCTTTGAAAACAAGCCTGTGGTTTTTCTGTTTCTGTTTTATTTCATTTGTCCTTCTCAGTTTTAGGTGCTGGTAGCAATCCCTACCAAACCTGGGAGTTCAAGCCACGGCAAACTTAGAGCCAAGATTCCAGGCAGGATTTTATAGATAGTTAGCCTGGCATGGAAGCCTAGAGAAGCCAAGGTGCCTGGGACTCAAACCTGAGAGGGTTTTGGAGTTTGAATTTGGGATTAGGCTCCCAATAGATACCAAGTTAAACCATGAACCTAATCCTCTTCCCCTCCTCAGAGACTGAGGTGATACGGGGGCAAGAGGGATTATGCCTCCCACATGTTTTGGAATAAATATGTATGCTTGTGATTGTACAGACAGTTCTAACTTTATGTAAATTCTCAATATGCAAATTTGACTTTACATAAAGAATTCTGAACGAAATCTCTATTCCAAAGAAACCCACCTATTGTTAACTTTACTGAACAATACTATGCGCGCGCGCTCTCTCTCTCTCTCTCTCTCTCCTCTCTCTCTCTCTCTCTCTCTCTCTGCTCCTGTACCTTGGCTCAGCGCTCCACAGCTTCCCAACCCCCAAAAAAACCCCAAACCCCCAAACCCCCCTCTTCCCAGTAAAAGAAAAAGAACGAACACACAAAAATCACATTATGGGGGCAGCTAGGTGGCGCAGTGGATAGAGCACTGGCCCTGGATTCAGGAACACCCGAGTTCAAATCTGGCCTCAGACACATGACACTTACTAGCTGTGTGACCCTGGTCAAGTCACTTAACCCCACTGCCTAGCCAAAAAGGAAAAAAAAATCATATTATGTAAAAATTGCTTTATGTAGAGATCTGCAGAATGGTCCACTTACATAAAGTAAGAATGATCTGTACCTTTGAAGTAAATTATCTCCTTGTAAAAGCCAATCTGTTAGTGGCTAAACATAAAGAGGGAAATTGATACCACCCTCACACGCCCCAGAGAGCCTAGACACTCCTTCCCCAATATCATTAAAGGTACCAGAGAACCCTGGAGAAGAGGTGAGACGTGACATATTTGGTCTTCAGGCAATGGGGTGTCCAGGGTAATCAGTGTTAAACAATGCTTCAAACATTTGCCTCAAAACAAACTTAGGTTTAGAGATATTGATAATAAAATTAGCATAGTTTCCCTGATTTGGGTATTTAGTGATTTATCTTTTTTTAAATTTCTGAAGCACTCTTTATAGAAGTCATTACTGTGGATCAAGTGACTTCATTTAAACTTCCTATAATTTTTTCCAAAGTTTCGTTCACTCAGTTTAGAGTAGTGAAACTTTTATTCCCATTCTTTTGAAATGTGAAATGTAACAGATGAAATAAAAATAAGAACTGACTTTGTACTTAAAGATATCTTGAACTAGTAAATAGGATTCCAGATTTGTTTGACTCACTTGAAATTCCATGGGAACGAAATACTTTCCATGTTTCTGAAGCCACTTCTTTTACATCCAGTTGATAGTGATGAATAGGCACACCACCATGAGAGTCTGGTTTGTTAAAAGAAACTTTGGCAACAGTTTGTGACAACTCTATAATTTTTACTTCATAGGGACTAGATGGCACATCTATAAGGGAATAAAAACAAGGGAAACAGAAAAAGTAAACTGAGAAAAACCAGCACTAAAACTTACAGGATATTTAATAACACAAATAATAAAAAATTCTTATTCAGGTAGTTTAACAGATATGACCTTCAAAAGTGCGTAGTTAGCTAGATATTCTCTTTGAGTAATAGGAGATCAAAAGTGAGAAAGCCATCCTTTAACTCCCTGGTAACACAACAGCATTAAACCAATGCAAAACCAAACTTCATTTTATTGATTTGGGTTTCCATTGTCATTTTAAAATCAGATGATGTTTTCATTATTTCAATTATTTGGAAGAATTCTGAAAAGGTCTATTTCCGGGTGAGGGCATGGTTACTGAATAAATATTTGAAACAGTAGTACAATTCTAAAATTCAATTTTTTTTTTGTTCATAGAAATTTACACGGTCTTTTAAAGTTTATAAAAAATAATTTATTATTCTTCAGAAAATCAAAATATGAAATTTAAAAGACAGTTTCATTTATTTGATGTTCATTTGAAATAAACATTCAGCTGAGATGGTTTGACTTTAATACACTTATTTATAAAAAAAGACTCATTAATATAGTACAAATAGAAATATTCATTACTTTATTTCCTACATAATATCTAAATCCTGAAAAAGAAAAATCTGAGATCTTTCTTATATTGTATTTTTTTTATGTCCAATGAATTTGTGTTGAAGATTAACAAGTAATTATGTCCATATCTATTTCAATAAAAACATACCAAAATATAAGCAATAAGTCTAGTAAATCTGCACAGGTTAAAATTCTAAAATTGCTATTTTTTTTTCTCTACAATCTTATATACGCTGGATTCAGATCATCTTTCTTAACAGTTTTTTTCAGTCAGCAGAAATAAGTCTTCTTCCCCTCCCATTCTGCCTCCTCCCATTCAATTGAGAAAGAATGAAAAAACTAAACCCCAGTTACATACATGTACAGATAAGCAAAACAATTTTCCACATTAGCCATGTCCAAAAGAAAAAAAAATAAATGTATAAGCAAATATGTATATAAATTTTTCTGCAGATCATTTTAAAAATTATTCTTATATTTTCTTTCAGTAAGATTGCATTCAGTAGGTGGATTTGAATTTTAAAGTGTATTATAACTTTATGTTTTTGGAATTTCTTTTTGAAACATCCTTGCTGGAAATAATATAAAGCTAAAAATTTTTTTTGTGATTATTCTTCCTTTGTTTTGCCAATCAACCAATCAATCAATAAACATGTATTAAGTATCTACTATGTGCCAGGCACTGTGCTAAGTGCTAGGGATACAAAAAGAGGTAAAAGATAGACCCTGCCCTCAAGAAGCTCACAATCTAATGGGAGAGACAACATGCAAAAAAAAAGGGGTTGGGAAAGGTTTTCAGTAAAAGATGGAATTTCAGTTACAGAAGCCAGGAAATTCAGAAGGCAGAGTTGAGAAGGAAAAGATTTCCAGGCATGGAGGACAGCCAGAGAAAATATCCAGAGCCAGGAGTGTCTTGCTCACAGAACATCAAGGCATCTTTGGATTGAAAAGTGCGTATTAAGGAGCAAAGTGTAAAAAGAGTGGGTAGGTAGAAGGGGGGTAGGTCATGAAGGGTTTTGAATGTCAAATAAAGCATTTTTTATTTGCTCCTGGAGGTGATGAGGAGCCAGTGTAGTTTACTGAGTAGGTGTGTGATATGGTCAGCCTGCTCTTTAGATAAATCACTTTGATGGCTCAGTGGAGAATGGACTAAAGTTGGATGGAGAGTTGAGGCAGGCAAACGCACCAGAAAGCTACTGCAATAGTCCAGGTATGAGGTGATGAGGGCCTGCACTAGAGTGGTGGTGGTGGTGCTAGAGGAGAAAAAGGGCCATTTTTGAAAGTTGTTGGAAAAGTGAAATCAACAGGCTTTGTCAACAGATTGGATATGAGGGTGGTGACAGATAGTGAAGAGTGGAGGATGACAACCTGAGGGACTGGGAGGATAGCCCTCTACAGTAACAGGGAAGGTAACAGGTAGGAAGGGTTTAGGAGGAAAACAATGAGTTCAGTCTTGGACACATTGAATTTAAGATGTCTACTGGACATTCAGTTTGAGATATCTGAAAGACAGCTGGAGACGTAAGATTGGAGGTCAGCTGAGAGGTTAGGTCAGGGCAGGTAGATCTGAGAATCACCAGTACAGAAATGATAATTAAATCACTGAATGAAGTAGTAGAGAGAAGAAGAGAATAGTTCCCAGGACAGAACCCTGAGGGCTACCTACATTTAGAGGGTGTGATCTGGATGAGGATCTAGCAAAGAAGATTGAGAAATGACCTGAAAGGTAAAAGAGAATCAGGAGAGAGTGGTGTCCCCAAAACCTAGAGAGAAGAGAGTAGCAGGAGGAAAGAGTGATCAACAGTGTCAAAGGCTGCAGAAAGGTTGATGAGAATAAGAACTGAGAAAAAGTCACAGGGGCACTGGCCCTGGAGTCAGGAGGACCTGAGTTTCAAATCCGGCCTCAGACACTTGACACTTACTAGCTGTGTGACCCTAGGCAAGTCACTTAACCCCACTGCCTGGCCAAAAAAAAAAAAAAGAAAGAAACAAAAAGAAAAAGTCACAGGATTTGGTAACTAAGAGATCACTGGTAATTTTGGAGAGAGCAGTTTCAGTGGAATGATGAAGCTGGAAGCTGGACTATAAGTAGTTAAGAAGACAGAGAGGAGAGAAAGTGATGGCACCCACTGTAGACAGCATTTGGGGAGTTTAGCTACAAAGGGGGAGAAATTATATAGGATAATAGTGGACATGGAAGGGTCAAGTGAAAACTTTTTCAGGATGGGAGAGACATGAATATGTTTGTAGGAATTAGAGAATGAGCCAGGAGAGAGGAAGAAATTGAAAATAAATGACAGAAAGGGAGATAACAAAGGGGATAATCTATTAGAGGAGACAGGATGGAATGGGATCACTTGAGTAGGCGGACGGGTTAGCCTTATGAAGGCTAATTCATCATATGAGACTGAGGTGAAAGCTTCTGAATGATAAGAGATGAGGAGGATGTGAGAAGAGGGAGTTCATGGTGAATGGCCTCAATTTTTTTCCCCATAAAATATGAAGTAAAATTCTTAGCTGGGAGGGTGGAGAGAAGGGGAGCTATGGTAGATTTCAGGATGGACAGAAAGGTTTGGTAGAGCTGCTGTAGAGAGAGAGATAGTTAGTTGATAAGGGAGGAATGGAAGGATTACCTAGTGGCAGCGAGTACCCAGTTGAAGTGAGATAACATAAATTTGTAGACTCAGGAAGAATCACTGCATTATTTTCTCTACCTTAGTTCAGCAACATAATTTAGGAATAAAAGCAATAAATGGTGGGCTGATCTAAGGCTGATGCTTGGTAGGGTATAAATGGCAATATGACAAGGGGGATAAGAAATCAAGAGAGGTGGACAGTGGAGAGTTGAATTGCTTCACCAAGAAGGGGGAAAGGAGGAAAGAATGTCTAGGACAAGGGAGATGGCCTGGGAGAAAACTTAAGGGTCAAGGATTGGAGGCTATGGTATGGACAAAGATTAAGATTTTGTAAAGAAGGCAGAGGGAGAGATGAAAAGCCAATATGCTATGGTCTGATAACAGAATTTCACAATTCTTAATGTGGAGATGGTACATTTATGGGTAATGACAAGATCAAGAGTGACCATCTATGTATGTGGCTGAGGTGGGGTGGAGGAGTAGTTCATGGGAGGTGAGTAGGTTGAGGAACTGAGTGGTTGGGCTGTTTGAGGGAGAGTCAATATGTATGCTGAAGCACCCTAGTATGAGGGCAGGAGTTGAGGAGGACAGAAAAATTATGAACTATGTGTTGCCCTGTATTGGAAGGGACACGACCAAGGCATCTAGACCTAAGCACAATAGAGGAGAGGTTACTGAGTGATGAAGATGGGGGAGAAACTGGTAGAGGCAACGGAGAGGAAGGAAAATCCCAAATCCCCTCCCTCTACCAGTCAGTCAAGGGGAATGAGTGAAGGGGTAGCCAGTACAGGAGAAGGGTGGCTGTGGAGCCCGTGTCATCAGGGGAGAGTCAGGCTTCAGTTACAGTTAGAAGATGGAAGGAGTGGGAGAGCAAAGAATTTAGGATAAATAGAAGTTTGTTGGGAACAGTGAATGGGCATTCCAGAAGACACAGTGTTTGCTTGAAACTTTGGGGTGGGAAGGATGAGGAGGATGGGAATAAGAAATCAGATGGTGAGGGGTAGGGAATTTGCTTTGTACGATGATCTAGGAATAACTAGGATGTGAAGGGCATTGCCAAGTGTGAGAATGTTCATCAACGTAGGGAGGGTGCCTCTCTTCCAAAAGGAGGTTGGAGATCAGGCCAGAATCAAGTGCTATATGAGACGGGGGGTACATGGTCAGACTGTTTGATGGAAAGCCTTGCTTCACCGCTCTTCCCTCTGAAGGGTAGATGAGGCAGGAAAAGGATGCACCAAGAGACAGAAGTCAAACCCGCACAGCAATTTTCCTTTTCTTCTTTTCTCATGGGACAGGTACAGCAGCAGATAGAAGGTCTGAGATCAAAGGGCAGGCTGCTCCTCTTTGCCCTGGAAGTTCTTCATATCCTGGTTGGGAGATCATGTTGGCAGCATGAGGGAGAAGCTGCCTTGTGCTGGCACAGAGGGAAGTCATTGTTTTGGGGCAGATGGACGCTTGTTCCTTGCTGCCTTCCCTCAGGAGGATGTGCTGGTCGCAGCATGGGATGGGAGCACAAGGTGCATGCTCAGAGGACTATGTGGGTCATCTTCTCACCTGCAGAGGCTGGCAATGAGGTGAGAGAAAGGAGTGGCATAATCCCTGTGCCAGGGGAAGTCCTTTGGGGCAAATGGAAGACACCCAGCCTTGCCACCTTCCCTGAGTGGGGCACGCTGCTCCCAGGAGGAGGATAGTCTTCTCCTCACCTGAGGAGGCTGGCAATGAGGCGGTATATAATCATTCAAATCTTGGAGATGAGCACAT